TCCCCCTCATACCTCAATTTGAACTTTTCTCATCCCCACGAGTTGCCATTACTATCTTCAAAATAACAAAAATATATGAATTGTTTTATTACATGGCTTTACAACACATACTCTCATCTTGACAACTTTTTCAGCAAAGCAAAGCAAAGGACTTGCACCTGTTCTTCATAACCAACCTTGGACAGCTGAACCCTGGACAAAGGTTTACACCTACTTATGTGTGCTTGTCAACTGCCCATCTCTGCTTTGCTCATGTTGTTAGTTTTCAAGTGTTTGTCCACCTTTCCCTCCAACATCTCCCTTACGTTTAAGGCATGCTCCCTTCTAATTCCTTACCACCACCATTCCCTCCAAACACATCACTTCTCGTGAGTATTCCACCAGAGCAAACTAGCTTCAGCAAGAGACAGGTTTTTTCTTCTTGTCTGAGAACCATCAACTTGCAAATTTACAGCTGATCTACAAACATTTTTATATAGACTCATTTAGCAAAGAGTAGGCAGTACTCCTCAAAATTCTAACCAAACCCAAGGTCTGAAACAGCTAATTGATCATCTTTGGAGCTTGTTTTTTATTGAGAATTTGGCTGAGGATGTTCTAAGCACACACTGCCAGATTGTCGTGGTTTAGGCCTGGTTGGCAGCCAACCACAATGCAGCAGCTCTCTCTCCCTTCCCCTCCGGCAATGAGAAGGGACAGAGAGCCAGGCTTGGGGTTCAAGATAGGACTGGGATGGGGGAAAATCCCCCTTTTATGATCATGAGCAAAAGGCAGACTCGTTAGGGGAAGAAACAAAAGAACATACTGATTTGAGACACATCATCATCTCTGCTACTATTTGTTATCCTTGTTTAGGAAACAATCAAAGCCTACTTTAAAACAGAATGAAACTATGAAACTTCAAAGGGACATCTCCCAATCTGCACCTCACAGTCCCCCTCACTCAGTACCACAGACGTCTTAAGAAAACACTGCCAGTGCTACCAGGTAACTGCAAGTTCTCTGTTTAATTGTTCCTCTTCAGACGATCTGATGCCTGTATAGCATTGTTAGCCCATAACACCATCAAATCTCCTCAATAAAAGCATAGTTCCCTGTCTATTCATCACAAAGTATTACAGCCCAGTAGCTATTTCTAAAGCTTAAAACCATACCCACAAACGAATCCTTCTGATGTCCTCTGAAACTAATCCCCCCCAAAAAACAATAAAAGAATTTTGCCAGGAAGAAATCTCACTTCCCTGCCCCCCCCCCCCCCAGAGAATGGGAATTCTGTAGCAGATGCACTGTTACAGACATTTACTGACAGGGTTCGCTCCATTCTACTCACTGTTTTCCTTGTTTATACTTTCTGATTTCAGCTGAGCAAGATCACACATCGGGCACTTTTTCCTGGTCCATTCAAATTTCCAGAGTTGCTTTTCAGTTGAATGTGTCCCATCTTCATCCACATGCCAGTTCCTGGCATCATCTCATTGTAACTTAAAGGCTTAGCCCCTTCCAGTTGAGAATAAAATAAGTTTCTTTTTAATTTGATCAAAGTCAAAGAAACTATAAGCAATTTTTAACTATTATAAAGAAACTTTTCTGAGGAAACACTTCTCAAAGAACCCAACAGTTTTGATAAATATTCTCAGTTTAGGGAAATGAGTGTGGTTATCTTTTCAGTTGCCTGGTAAAATCACTAGCTAGAATTTTTTCTGCTCAGATTCACCATGAAATTCTGTTAATATAAGATAGGAATAAGCAGGCAAGGTAGGAGGCCAGCAGGGCTGTTTCCACAGCAGTGCTAGCTTTCTCTGGTTTGAAGGACTCAGTTGCAGCCACACACTCAGAAACATGATATAAAACATTGCAAGAGACAGGCTACTAGCCTGGACTGGCAATTGACTCGATTCAATAAAACAATTTGTTTTGTTAGTTAAATCAAAGCTGAAGTTCTGACAGATTAAAAAAAAACATGGGAAAAATCTTGGTTCTGCTTAAGTCAATAAAGGTTTTTCTATTCCCTGCAGTTTCGACTTCTCACAAAATTATCTGGCTCTGAGAAAACTATTGTGTCAAAAATGCACAAATAATATTGTTACTATTAAGGGCAGTATGAGAACTGTCTTTAGTACTTTGGTTTATATTTAATCTAACCATAGCCACATATATCTGTGCTGAAACATTTACCACTTCTCTCCTACCACGAAACTGGAAGTTTTTCCCCCACTCTCTCACCTTATTCTGTAAAGTCCTTTAAATCTCATCTCTCAGGATTATAATAACAGCTGGCACCTGTAGCAGGACTGGAATTTAAATCACTAAAAAAGCACACATAAGCTTATATGAATCTTTACACAAAGAGAGACCCAAAGAATTAAGTTTATAGCAGATGCTCCCAGTGCAAAACAGCACCAGCAATGCCAAAAAAGGAATTTCACTGAAAAAATTAACACAGTACAACAACAGTTACTCATTGACATAACATTTTATGAGACAATGGAAGAAACAGATAAGATGAAACAAAACTATACAATATTTGGAAGTGTTTGTTAAATACTTGTTGAAACTTGTCATTGAAATTAGCAGTGCAAATAAATAAAAAGCTTAAAATAAATTGTTTTTCAGTTACAGAATCTGTCAAAACACATAGTTCTCATCAGCAGCCAAATATACTTTACACCAGCTGATGAAAATTATGATAATAAACCAATGTTAGCCCCTATTCTCCAGGGCAGAAAACTTCTAGTAAAAGACCCCAGCCTAGAAAGATGAAAGACAAACTAAGACAGAAATGGTCTTCAAAGGAAGCCATGGTTGTAATTGCAGGCAAAAATTGTTGTTGCTTACAGTACTATTCAAAGGTAATGCACAGGGCCATATCTGCATGACAGTCTAAAGCAGAACCTAACCTCACTCAAGTTGTTTTACCCAGACATAGCTCTCCAAAATTATTATTTTATCTAATATATATGCATATGTAAATAGGAGTGCTCTTAGTTCCTGGCTGTCAGGACAAGTTGGGAATCTTCCCCTGTCATTGCTCTGGAGTATATCATATATAATATAATTAATATATATGTAAATAAAGGGTATGTCACAAACCAGCATCAGAATGCCTTATCCAATGGAAATTTGTAAATATTACAGAAGGATCAGATTACTTTCAATACATACCAGGATAATTTAGACTAAGTTTTCACTTACAATGATTAAAATTAGCAATGGTAAATTAGCAATGTAAAAAAATCATAAAATCTACTGCCGAGGGAGCACCAAGGTCCCTTAGGTGAGACAAGGGATGACAGACAAGAGCATCAACATTTCACAGTCTATTAAAGGATATAACCTAACCTCAGCTCGAGTTACAAAATATATATTTAAAAGCCTCACTTATGGGGTCAGGTCACAGTGTACCATTCTAGATCACACTTTTCCCCCAAACTTACACCTGTATGTATCTACAATGTATGCATTTACAATTTTTCAGTTTGATCCATTGATAGCAAAGATGTTTAGAATTTGTATGGATTTCAAACCCGTAATTTACTACGCAGCCTAAAAATCACTGAAACCTGGCCCTGTTCTTAGACAGTAATTAATCCACTATGAAGATAACGGAGCAAGAGAAGAATTTATGCATGTCTTCAGAAAAGGGTCTGGTCAAAATGTTGGCAGATGGGTGAAGGAAAAAAAAAATGTTTAGGGTAGCATAAGAACTTAAGCAATCAGTCGAACACCTGCAACACGTTGTCTACTGCACAGAGGTCCTTGATCTTGGCAAGCGTGATAAACCCCTCCTGGGGAATGCGTAAATGGAGAGGTTCCATGTGTATATTGAGAGACTCCTAATCAGAAGCCCCTATGCTTTAAGATTAAGGCCCTCTGAAAAATAATGAACTAGCTGAAGCTAGGCAGGAGATAAGAAAGTGCAGACATGAACCCAAAAAAGGCCAATTCAAAAGTGTAGACAAAGTTCAAGAAAGGCTCCTCTCCAAAGACCATCAGAGACTGTTAGAAACCGCCAACAACCCCCATGGAAGCCCCTCAGAGACCTAAACCACACACGTAATAACTATGTAAATATGATAGTGAGTTTTAGGAAATTTGATTAATATGTACGTAACAGAGTGATATCAGCTTTGGCTATTGTAATGTACAGTGGACATATTAGGTGGAATGATCCCCTCATGTCCCCAGCCGAATAAAGTAATGCCTGCTCGTTAATGCTAAACCCAGCATTAAGGAGTTTTCATTCCCAATTTTGGTGACAAAATAACATAATATTCTATTGAAAGTCTTCTGTAAAGTCCCAAAAGGCTCTGGATCTGGCCCTTATATCCCTCCAGAAAATGGCAACACCACATTTTGAACCTGTAAATCACCTATTCAAGCACGACTAAGTTAAATTCAGTGTTTACTCCACAGGCCACACCTCCAGCATCTGCACACTCTTGTACAGCACTTCAACCTCTACATTTTTCAGCAGAAGAAAGCAGTATACAGGGCAGTCCACTAGCATTTAAATTTGTACCGAAGAATTAACCTGTAAAAACAGGACATTAATTATGCATGCATTGGTAATTTCTAATCTGCTTCCTGCTAACAAAATCTGAACATGCATGCAATATTTAAGTCTTAATATCTTAAGAGTCAAATTCTGGCTGGCTCTTTCATACACTTTTTTTCCCAAAATAGAACTGCATCTCAGTCTGTATTTTTCCTGAACTCAGATTTGAAGCTCCTCTGTCCTCAGAGCTGCAGAGAACAGATTTTACAATGTTAAACTCATGTCAAATTTCCAAGTTGTCCAAAAAAAGTGCACACTCTCTCCATAGATCCTGTCTTCTGGCATTCAGCTGTGTATGGTCCAGCACTGTGCCAGTGTCCAGACACAGAATAAACAGAGCAAGAAACAGTTGTTCAGTTTACCTAAAGCAGAGGGCAAACAAGCCCTAAATTAGCTTATGAAGAAAAATGTAGGGGTTTTTTTCCTGGAAATCATACAGTAATAGTGTATTCCAAAGTTTTACTCCTCATCCTTACAAAATATATTACATTTTCTCAACCATTATTCCAACATGATAACAATCCACAAAATATTTTTCCTCTTATTTCAGCATGCAAAGTAGAAAAATATTTTAAATGGCTTATTGAAAGTCATCATATAAAGAGAATCCTTTTTCCATTCTCAAAATCTTTGTGATGCTACTACTGTCCATTTCCTAAAGCAGAATGCACAGTAAGCTCAGAGCTGAATAAGGCAAGGTGCCTTTTCAAATTCCTTTTTGAAGCTGGTTGATCACAAAACTTGACTTCAATGTTGCCATCACTGAATGCCTCCCTCCTGGCTTCGTCCGAGTCAGTGGGATCTCTTTGAGAAACACTTGCCTTTTGCCGCCTCATAGTAATACCTGAGTTCCCAAGTTGCCTGGTTGGTGATGCATTTTCTTTGACAAGGCAGAAGCAGATGGCAGACAAAAAATTTTTCTTGAAGTTTTCATTCATGAAAGCATACACAATAGGGTTGCAAATAGAATTGAAGAATCCTATAATCTGGACGATTGCAAAGATCATTTTGACTGTCACATCATCATAGTCCTTTTCAAAATTACCTGGAAAGGAAAAAGGAAATATGCTGTAAGCATAGAATGGCATAAATGCCTACTACTTAGCTTACTTATAGCCAGCCCAGCATTAGAAGCTTTTGTTTAAAAATCAACGAAAGACCTTGTTGGAGGTTCTTAGTATTAGCAACAGGCTATCATCAGGAAGGAAAGATCAAGATTTACCACATAGCCCTGCTTTGTGTATATGTAACTAAGGACAGAGTCATTCAAAAGAGGCAATTTGTGAGCCAAAAAACTTGCCCAACAGCCAAGCAACAGAAAGCTTCCAGTCTGCTAAGTATAGTCCTTGTTTATCCAAGTTGTTCTTCTGGCTCTGAGTTTCATGTTCATATCAAATGTGCAAGTACTTTAACACCAAACTGTGTCTTGTCATTGACCATACACGGTTTCTTTTCGAGTACTGACACAGAGCAGCTCATGGAGGTAAAAATGCATCTTCTTGGTCACATCTCTCAGTTTTTAATCATTGAGATCACAGAGGACCCTGAATTCCTTGAATTCAAATACTCAGTGACCAAACTCTGGATAAATACTGCCAAGATTTATATGGCAAGTAAAATAAAGGCCTTGCAGTACCTGAAATAATTCCTGAAATTATCAATGAAAAGAGAGCAAACAGTTCATAGATTGTTATAGGCAACCTTAACATGGGACAATCCGGACAATCTTAATAATTACAGCTTCTGCACTTCTGATTCTGACCAGGTATAAACATCATTTTGTTCAGCTGAGTGGCTGCAGGACTACTGATTTATCTGCTACAGCCTTATTTGTGATAGAAGACAGATACAGCTGCTGCCTTTGGCAAGTGGAGTGCAACAACTACTTAAAACTTCCTCTTGTTCCTACACATAACCTGCTGTATAGTCACACGTACTATCCCAGTACCCATGCAAGACATGGGAGATGAACAGTGCAAGACCCCAGAGACTAGTGCAAATAGCAAAAAGCAAAAATAACAATCCTTGAGGGCATCTCCGAGCTAATATGCAGACAGAACCACTGAAAAAGTTCAACTGGACTCATTGGGTATTATTGCTCTGAAGTCCAGTAGTTTTATTTCCAATATGCCTACCTCGTTAAAACCAGGGCAAGTGAAAGGATAAATGTTTTGTAACAGTTTAACTCAAAGAAGTATGACAACCTAAGTGGATGCAAATAAAAGCCTTCACACATTAAATTAAAATTAAATTTGAATTTAGAAGTTACTTGTTCAAGAAGTTTGATACTTAGAAATAACTTCTACCTTCCAGCCAGGTACTTCTGACCTTTCAGCAAATGTGAGTAGCACTACAGACACAGAAAGAAAAAGAATCTACAGAGATATGCTCGCTATCCTAACAGTCAAGTCTTGCTTTTTCTTGAGTCTTGTAAGGCCTAGCAAAGCTTCTTTTCAGGACTGGACTATGTGCTGTACAATTTCAGAAGCACTGACAACCTCCTTTCTAAAGGGCTTACATTCTAAAAGAGCTGGTAGAGCTTGGGTTCCCTCCCACTCACACTGCAACAAAGTTCCTTAGGGTTTATAGCAAGACACAAAGATTATCTTCATTAATTCACACAGCAGTGAAGAACAGATGTGGCTGATACACAAGTTTATGTCAGATATAATGTATCTCCCAAACTCTACATTAAAAGTAATTTCCAACCTAAATGATTCTACAATAATAGGTTTTCTGAAAAGTACTCATTTTCCATGAGCCATGCAGATCTGTCTATCATTCAGTCTTCAGAGTAATTCATCTGCTGTTGGCTATGTATCTCTATTACAAAACAGTGATCCAGGATTTATAAGGGCAACATTAACCTTTGCTAGCAGAAAGTATTCCATAGCTGAATGCTGCAGCAGCACTAGCTTTTCACAACCTGTAGTTCCAATATATAAAAAACCAAACAAACAAACAAAAAAAACACACAAAAAAAACCAAAACAAAAAACAAAAAACAAAAAAAAAAAAACAAAAAAAAAAACAAAAAAAAAAAAAAAAAACCCACCAAAACTAAGAAAGGCTTTATTGTATGACACATAGCAGATACTCACTGTATTCTATCATCATGTGAATCACATGGAAAGGGGCCCAACAGACTGCAAAGAGAAACACCACTGTCACCATCATAACAATTGCTCTCTTCTTCTTCCTGAAATTGTATCAAGACATTCCATACTGAATCACTGAGAATTGACTGTTAATTAGATGCGTCTCTAAGTTAGATCTGTAAATGTGTTCTGATGGTTGCAGGTGCAAATAAAACCCTGGAAGAATGCTCAGAAGTACACAATTCCCTTGGAAACAGAAGATGGAGCATCATATAAATCTAGTACATCAATTAACACCTTTTATTTCTCTCTTTTAGGAAAGCAATGCACTTTGCAGCTGCTGCAAGCAATGACATTAGCATATCTTGCAAGGCATTTTCACTCCATTCAAGAAGATGCAATTCTAATAATGAGATGGGGGTGGGGAGAAACCCCATGAAATTCCTTTAATAGCTCAAAAATCCCCAAGTCCCTTCCTAGATCTGGGAGCACTGACCATACCTGCAGCACATGATTACACAGAGAATCTGACAGTAAGTGAAACTACACCTGCTACATTCAACCTTTGGTTGTAGGTGACATGCTAGAATAAGAGCATGAAACATACTCTCTGCCTCCACTGTAATATCTCACAAACTCAAGGTATACATGAATTTATTGTCATCCCCAAATTGATATATAATTCAGACAACTACATCTATAGATCCCAAGATGGGTGTCTCACTTGAGATAAAGCAGCAGCACTTCACTGGTAGCAGTTACAGGATCTTCTCCCCACTGTGAGAAAATAAACTGAGTAGCTCAAAGATTACATGTCACCTCAATTCCTGTGAGATTGAGCCCTCTTTCAGTTTTGATCTACAACGGTCTACTTCTTTAGGCACTATGTTAGACAAGTATCTAAAGAATCATTTATCTTTAAGCTGCTTGTCAGTATTCTCCTTACAGCCAATACTTAAGGTCATACTCTCCTCAACAAGCAGAACTGTTAGAGGTTTCTAGCACAACAGGCTACAGATCAATTTGCCAAACGAAAGGAAAAAACATGAGGCAATATTAACAGTAGACTATATTTAGTGAAAGCAATTTAGTGAAGTTGATAATTATTGATTTTCGTAACTTTTCAAATTGAGCATTACCATCTGGATAGTCTCACACAAACACATCCGAGAAGATTCAAAACTCGTTGGAACCTGTATCAAGTTAAACTGTACCAAAGTGGTTTTTAACTGAATTCTGATTTTTTTCCCCATATGCCAATTTAACTTATAATAGTATCATAAAGCAGTGTTCACAGTCTCAGAATTATACAAAGAACTTGCCATAGCACATACTGAAATAATGTAGCAGCATTTTCCCCAACTCACCTTCTAACTCATGGCCTGCATCTTTGAAATGCAAGCATTTCACAATTTATAATATGAGATTTATTGAAAGGGCTTGACTTCCAACGTGTGGCTACACCATATTTTGAAGAAAACACTCTGTTTAAATTGCCATAAATTGGGTATCTAAGTTAGCTTTAGAAATCTGGTCTATGCTTGCAGACTTCCCAACAGATAAGGAAAGACAGGGGTTTTTTTTGGCCCTGGTTATCAAGAACTGTCAGGAAAAAAAAAAAAAAAAAAAGCTTTCTAGAAGTCAAGGTTCCAACTGTATTTTACTTTACAAACCTTGATATTTTAGACATTTCATTCCCATGAATGGTTTGAAGAACTGAAGCATCTCCCACTCGTTTCTTAATCCAGAGTTCATAGCCAATTTTAGTGTACAAAAAAAGCATCAACATCAGTGGAAGAAGGAAGAGAATAACGAGAATAAAGGTCGTGTATATCTTCTGATAAATCGGACTGGACCATTCTTCCAAGCAACAAACATACACTTTTTCATATAGAAAGTCATATTTAACCTGTAACAAACGTAAAAGAGATAAATCACTACAGTGTTTACCCTGAGTGTAAAAACCAAGCACATTCAAATATTCCTTGCTCTTAATACAACAACCAAAATTCAAGAGAGACTTTTTAAAGTGACAAAATTCTTCCAAGCAGTTTTCCACATCAAGTGTTGGGTTGACCCAAACTGACAAAGAGAGGTCAGGAGATGCTCTGCTTTGCACTCCTCCTCAAAACTTTCTTTTTTAATGAGGATTTTCAAAGGAGACATTGTCTATGCATTTTGCAAGTAAAGATAGGTGTATAGAAACTTCACATATTAGTCACTTTAAACAAAAAGATTTGTTAACATTCAGACTCACAAGGAGCAGGTTCTGACAAACCCTTCTTTCTTTATCCTCCAAAACTGTATGGTAACTCTTTAAACTATAATGGGCAGCTAATTACATTTTAAACCAGGCACACTTCTTCCAAATCTCAGGGAACACTATGTCACCTGAAACAGTAATCTAAGCCGTAGACTGCTGTGTGCCAGTGGAAATTATAGATGTAATTACTGCTCTTTGCCATAATTGGGGAGTTCTAATCCTTAGCCTTTCTCATGCTGGTACAGAGAACAAAAGCTCCTTTTCTCTTACCCGACTCTCACTTCCTAGGAATTGATTCAATGTCATTGCTACAGGTACAGAAAGATCCAGCAAGGTCATAATTTAGAATGTAAATTCCCATTTCACCTAACATACCTCAAGTCGTTGCACATGCCACATAGGTGACCCAACAACAAGTGCCAGCAACCAGACTATGCCTGTAAACAAATAAATTTTTTTAATACTTCGTACAACAAGCAGCATAAGTTTTGGTATGAACAGTTGAACAGCTTCATCATTAAAAAGACAAGCAAAGTAGACAATTTAAATAAAGAACAACATTTTCTAAATGAGGCATACATCAGTCAACATTCACATCAATAACACCATGTTCTTTTGTTACCAGTTTTATTTCTCAAACTACCTTACGGTATTGGTATTCAAGTATAAGGAAAACTTAATTTGCAGGAGCAGGTTTGTGTATGTTCTCTTTGTGTTACAAGGGAACATTTACAGCTGTGACACTGCTTTAGCAGTGCTTGTACATTTTGAACTTTTCTTAAAAAAAAAAAAAAAAAAAACAAACACCACCACAACTGCCGAAGGTTTATCAGAGTCTTGGTTAAGTAAATCTTTGTCTTCAGATGCTAAGTCTACTGTTAGGGTTTTGGCTAGTATTCTGGCTAGTAGTTGCTCCACATATAGGCACTATCTTTGAGCTATTTTATAAATGTTACCAAGCTTATCATTAACTCTACCTTTCAATCACTGGTCATAACAGTGCCTTCTCTTCTGTCATGCCATCTACACCAGCTACACTGAGGATTACTTCTCTATACACACAATTACTGGAAGTGCCAAAAATCTTACCAAGCATCGTGAAAGCTCTTTTATTGGTGTACTGCCACTTCATCTTTAGTGGATGCACAATTCCCTGGTGTCTTTCCACAGCAATGCAGGTCATTGTAAGAATCTCAGTTACAATAGCAGTGGATTGAACAAATGGTACCATCTTGCAAGCGAAGGCACCTGCAATAGTCAGAACGGTATGCAACTGTTGCAGTTCATGAAAAAGCTATTAATACTAGACTACGTTACTAAAGTGCTATTGTGCAAAAAGAACAAACCAATATTCTCAGATATATTTTAACAGCTAAACTGCTAAGTCACCTTTTTAAGCTATTCATCAAATACAGCTTTCAGTAGTCATTCTTCCATTGTACACACTACATCTGCAAAACCAAGACTTCTAAGGACATATTCACTTGCTCTGTATCAGTCTGACACTTACTCCGATTTCACTTTTGGCCAGCTCTTCCATCATGTTTTCAAATATGCCAAGTTACACAGATATTTATTATCTTTTTATCTTAGCAGATTACTCTCCAGTTTTATGAAGGTCTTAGTGTTACCTGTTTAAAAAGTTTTCCTTGTCTGCTGTTGCAAATGTATTCCTTCTGCTCATTTAAATACCACTCTACTTGTACACTTTGACACTTAATGCCTCACTCTGCCAAGTGATAGAGACTCCTATATATATATATATAGGAATCCTCTAAGAAGCATAACAAAGAGGAAAAACTCAACCTCTTCATCATCTTTTCATTCTCCAAGTCTCCCTCTTTCCTGATTAACACATTATGATAATGACACTGTCCAAATTAAATGCAGTTTTCTGCCTGCATTTTCACAGTTCCCACTGTATTTATGCACAGCTAGCACAGATTTTCAAATTCCATTGCTGCTATAGCTTCCCAAAAGTATATATTCAATTCTTAACATATTAGTCATTCTCCATTACTCATCCTCAAGTCCCAAACATCTTAGAAAATGTGGTGTAAAACATTCTCTCAAAAATCTTAACACTCTTCCCAATCTACTTCTCATTTACTCATTTTCTGACCCTGAGATCATTTTGAATGTTTGCATTTTCACAGTCCCCTCACATTGTTACAATTCAGTATCAGCTATTCATTTCAGAAACAGCTGGGTTTATTATACCTTACCCAGATATAATCCATAAACTCAAAATAGCCAAAGGAATATCTGATCCAATTGTAAATCAAGCTTTAAGATGTTACAGACATCTTAAGCAATAAAAGCATAGAAAACAGAAAGAAAACAAACAGGAAACTATCAAAACTTCATCCTGTCCTCTACGAAAGGAACAAGAAACAGGGAAACTTCTGTCTACTAGGCCAAGCTAAAATCCACTGGAGCTTACTGGTTTGCTACTGGTCTTATCAGTCCTAGTTGTCCAAAAAAAAAAAAAAAAAAAAAAAAATATCACTTTTTCTGTGACTCTAAAAAGGAAGGAGAGGGCAAGGGGCAGAATGCAAGTCAAGTACCTTTCAAGTGCATGTTCAACACGAGCAACATCATGACTGTGCACACAGATCTGGCTTAAAACAGAATAAAAATATACAATGCAGCCCAATGTCAAGCTACTTGAATGAAATCTTAGCATAGTGAGGTGGAACTGCATGGAAGATGATGCACTGGGCTGTATGTATGTTTCTGACCTAGTATGTATTTTTCCAGGGTTTCAAAAAGAGCAAGAAAAGGCATCTTGCAGCTGATACAATTTACACAATAAATTTCCTCCCACTTCTTCCATGGCTTCAGTAAGCACAAAGTAAAACCCTTATGAAACATGGCCAATATTTTATTAAGTCAGCATCTCATCAGTTTCTCACTACACCCAGTACAGTATGTGCTACACATAGAAGCACCAGCCCCACCCAGTCCAATTTACAGTCCTTCAATGAGTGTGTTGAAAATTCTGTAGTGAGATAACAAAACCCAAACTCAAACCATACCTTCTTTGCACATGGCAAATGATGAATACAACCAAGGAAGAGACACACAATCTCTGGCCACTTCTGAAAATCAGCTTACTGCCAGGAATAAAGCAGAGCTAAAATGATCTTCAGCCAAATTCAAATCCTACTACTCTGAAGCAAAAGGAGAGGTTCCACTACTGGTTTCAAGTTTTTTCTTCGCTGTTGGAATAAGTTACAAGTGACTCCTTATACAAATAACATGAACAGAAAAAGCAAAATTTGTACATGAAAGAAATGTTTAGGTTCCTGTTTCACAAAAGAAGCGAGTTCAAGTTTGAGTGCTGGAGCTGAAGTAGCAAAAAAAAAAAAAAATTAAAAAAAAAAATTCAACCATATGCTGTTTCTCACAGTTTGAAAAAAAAGTCAGAGTTGAATAAAGTTAAGTCCACTTGACCCATACTCCATTATAAGGGTTTTCCTGTAATGTACCATTCCTCCACTGAAGTCTTAGGGAGAAAACAAATATCACTCTATTACTGTACTTAAGTAATAAAATGAGACAGCAACTTTCACTGAAGTTATATGAGTGTGGTAGAATTTGCAGCTTGTGCCCAACTATTCAAAGAGCAAACAGAATACTAGAATTCATCAGGTAGTAACTCCCAAACTCCCAGATTTTCATTGCCTGTTACTTATATCTTTTCATTTTCTTCCAAATAACTACAATGTCAAAGAGCACAGACTATCACTATGCCTTTAGCTGAACTCCCAGGAGAAAACGCAGTACAAGCTCCTTATTTTATCTCTTTGAAGACATATGCACAAAGAGTAATCGCCTAAACTATATAAAGTAACTATTAAAAAAGGTAGTAAGAGTCTACATAAAGCCTATAGACTGAACAAGCAGTGACATAAGCACTTCCAGAAATGTGAAACAAAAGGATGTTTTTCATTAGACACATTTGGCTGAAATAAACACCTGCTCTGAGGCACATGGCACACATTTTGGTTCCTTGATGGACCCGGTGGCCAAAGCGAAATAGCCACATGCATTTTTATAACCAAGAAATAACATGAAATTTGCAAAAGGGCAGTAGCTAAAAGCTACTCAAAAAGCCTCTATATATTAATAGTAAAAATAGAACAGTACTTCAACCTGACAAGCACAGAAAATAATTACAAAATCATGGAATAATGCTGGTTGGAAACAAACTCAGGAGGTCTCTGATCTGACCTCATGGTTCACAGCAAGATCAGCAATCAAGCCAGATGCATCCCAGAGGATTCAAACCTTGAAAATCCCCAAGGCTGAAGACAGCCTCTTCCTCTGCTTACCTGTCCTCACATGGAAGAAATTTCCCTTATATCATCATCATCCTAGAATGGTTTGGGTTGGAAGGGACCTTAAAGATCATCTAGTCTCACCCCATCTGCCATGGGCAGGGACACCTTCCCCCAGCCCAGGTTGTTCCAAGCCCCGTCCAACCTGGCCTTGAACCCTCCTAGGGAAGGGGCAGCCACACCTTCTCTGGGCAACCTGCTCCCGTGCCTCACTGCCCCCACAAGAAATAATTCCTTCCTCATATCTAATCTAAATCTACCCTCTTTCAGTTTAAAACCATTACTCCTCGTTCTATCCCTACACCCCCTGATAAAGAGTCCCTCCCCAGCTTTCCTGTAGCCCCCTTTAAGCACTGGAAGGCCGCTATAAGGTCTCCCTGGAGCCTTCCCTTCTCCAGGCTGAACAACCCCAACTCCCTCAGCCTGTCCTCACAGGGGAGGTGCTCCAGCCCCCTGATCATCTTCATGGCCTCCTCTGGACCAGCTCGAGTAGGTCCACGTCCTTCCTGTTGGGGGCCCCAGAGCTGGACACAGCACTGCAGGTGGGGTCTCACAAGAGCAGAGGGAGAGAATCCCCTCCCTCAACCTGCTGGCCACACTTTCCTTGACACAACCCAGGACATGGTTGGCTTTTTGGGCTGCGAGCTCACATCGCTGGCTCATAGTGTTTTCCATCCACTGACACCCCCAAGTCCTTCTCCGCAGGGCTGCTCTCAATCCACTCCTTTCCCTGCCTGTATTTGTGCTTGGGATTGCCCTGATCCATGGGCAGGACCTTGCACTTGGCCTTGTTGAAGTTCATGAGGTTTGCACGGGCCCACCCCTCCAGCCTGTCCAGGTCCCTCTGGATGGCATCCCTGCCCTCCAGCGTGTCGACCGCACCACACAGCTTGGTGTCATCGGTGAACTTGCTGAGGGTGCGCTCAGTCCCACTGACCAAGTCTCCAACAAAGATGTGAAACAGCACGGGTCCCAATACTGACCTTCTTGTTTCAGTTGAAGCCTTCTGCCTCTCATCCTCCTGCCACACACTTCTGTGAAGAGCCTGGGCCCATCTTCTCAATAAGCTCCTTGTATGCACTGCAAAATGCTGCTAGGTCGCCCCAAAACTGCCCCTTCTCCAGACTGAACAAGCTGCATTCCATCAGCTTTTCCAGACATATAGGGCAGCTGCTCCCACCCCTAACATTTGGGTGATCCTCTACTGAATTCATACCAGTTTATCAATATCTTTCTTGTATTGTGGGTCCAAAACTGGACACAGTATTCTGGACACTAAACACAACCTTGCTTGTGAGACTTGGTTTAACAGGAGAGCTAGGTGTTACTAGATCTAAGCCTTCCCAAAACACAGATGATGTATCTCTTCTTCCCTGGCTCTCCAACCTCAAGGAGAAAGCATTACCATTAGGGCCCCACCTTCAGGACCTCCCTCTGAAATGGACCATCTCACAAAAATATTTATGGGTTTTCACAGCCAAAAGAAAAATTGAAAACACAATACCTTCAAACTTGCATACTCACTATTGGGTAAACAGGTACCGAGGTCTAGTCCCTGATCCAGTCACGTGTGTACATTTCACTTAATATTAAACACATTTGTGCAAAACAAGCTTCACCTGCAGCAAGAACAAACCGATGCAACCCCATTCTCAAGTGCCTGTTAGTTGAAAGTCCCTTCTGAAAAAAACTGAGAAAAAAAGCGCCAATTTTTACTATAAGCAAGACACATTAAGTTTTGGGGAAAAAAAAAATACAATAAACCCACAATACAAATTATGCTAGTAAATCACGATTTAGACAGTGAAATTAAAATAAGACTGAGACAAGCAAAAAACAGCTGTGTGAAGCACTGATACATTATAAACATGTCAAGCTACTTTTCACATGTTTGTGTTCAGACAT